GCCGGAACCGGAGGTTCTGCAGCCGGCATGTGGCGAATATTGATAGCTCTGCAGAAATAAACTGGCAAACAGACAGAAGCAGCAGCTGCAGCTGGCAGAGGAACCGTTTACTGAAAGCAAACCGGATCCGGACGGTTTGTTTGTTTCCTGAAACGTTTCTCTGATTTCCACGTCGTATGTTTTTCTTTTGGTGCATCTTCATTTCCCTTTTAGCTATTAGCCATTAGCCGAATCGGAAGCCAATTTCAGCTGTTAGCATGTTTATGCTAGCTGTATCAATGCAGCTAACCTGATGCTTAGCATGCTAACCATTTAACTCGACAAAGTTTCCATTAAAGGAGAAAATGTAAGTCACGGGTGGGCATGCTACTTGTTAGCATATCCGAGGCTAACATTAGCCTATTTAACGCTATTGCTAGCATGTCTGTGCTAATGACCAGCAGAGGAAAAGGCAATTTGATGGGTCACCAACATAGCCATGCTAGTCACCTGTCTCTCCAAAGCTAGCACTAGCTAGTCGTCGTCTCATTTGCCACTGGGGAGACTGGTTTCACTGGTTTCAGTGGTTGAACCTCCTCAAACCAGTCAGTCAGAATCACCCAGGGACGCACACACACACACACACACACACACACACCCTCTCTGTGTGTGTGTGTGTTTGTGTGTGTGTGTGTGTGTGTTTTGTGTGTGTGTTTGTGTGTGTGTGTGCGTGTGTGTGTGTTTGTGTGTGTGTGTGTGCGTGTGTGTGTGTTTGTGTGTGTGTGTGTGTGTGTTTGTGTGTGTGTGTGTTTGTGTGTGTGTGTGTGTGTGTGCGTGTGTGTGTGTGTGTGTGTGTGAGTTTGTGTGTGTGTGTGTGTGTGTTTGTGTGTGTGTGTGTGTGTTTGTGTGTGTGTGTGTGTGTGTTGTGTTGTGTGTGTGTGTGTTTGTGTGTGTGTGTGTTTGTGTGTGTGTGTGTGTTTGTGTGTGTGTGTTTGTGTGTTTTTGTGTGTGTGTGTGTGTTTGTGTGTGTGTGTGTGTGTTTGTGTGTGTGTGTGTGTGTTTGTGTGTGTGTGTGTGTGTGTGTGTTTGTGTGTTTGTGTGTGTGTGTGTTTGTGTGTGTGTGTGTGTGTTTGTGTGTGTGTGTGTGTGTTTGTGTGTGTGTTTGTGTGGTGTGTGTGTGTGTGTGTGTGTGTGTGTGTGTGTGTGTGTGTGTGTGTGTGACAGGCCGCCCGCCCTCTCTGGGAGTTTACTAATGAGTTTATTACATTCAGCTCAGACAATAAATGAAGCGATCCATCACTGGGGAACATCTGTGGAGTCGACGCCTTAATCAGGCAGCAGCTTCATAGCAGGCTGACACGACGAAGAGGAGGAGGAGGAAGAGGAGGAGGAGGAGCGTTTAAGAGGAAGGAAACATCTGCAAGGTTTGGTTTCCACCAGGACCCGATGAAGACGAGGAGGAGGGAGGAGGAAGATTAGAGGAATCTCCTTCTGATGATGAAGAGGAGGAGACGGCATCTGCTGCTCTTCATCCCTCAGGAGGAGGAAGAGGAGGAGGTGATGAAGAGTCGTCTTCATATCAGCTTTACAGCTAAATAAAACTAAACAGTTCCATCGACCCGATCAAAGTTCTGGACGGATTCAGCAGACACAGTAAAAACACTGATAAAAGAAAACAGCGCCCCTTACTGGTGAGGGTTGGAATGTTAGCCACGCCCCGGTGATGTCACAGAGTCCTGGCCACGCCCCTCCCTGTTTCATCTGGTTTCAGTTCCGGGTCTGAAAGAACCAGAACCAGATTCCACATCACTTCCTGCTCTGTCATCAGAACTGATGGACGTTTTGTCCATCAGCTCTGGACTTTGACTAGGCCATGATCTCCATTCTCCAGCTGTTGTTCTGACGGTTTTCCTGATGGAAGGTGAAAGTTCATGATGTTGCCGCTGCTGCGTTTCAGTCGGTTTTAAATAAAATTTGATCTTTTCCTGGAGAAAACTGAAACATTTTCATATTGGAACAGGTTTTATTTCAGGGTGTCAGAGTGAAAAGAGCAGATTGGATGACAAACTTTCCACCTCACTTAAAAAACATCTAAATCTAATTTTCCTTGAATTCCTTCAAAATGCCCTGAAGTTTCATCCTGTGACATAAATCCTCCTTCAGGCTCAGCAGCTGCTGAGTTCTGCTGTCCTCATTTGTCCCACAGGCCTCGAAAGCATCGTCGTTTCCACTTGCTGCAATGGATGCAGGGAAGTCGGTTCCCTCGGTGTTCCCACGGCGTTCCCTCGGCGTTCCCTCTGCGTTCCCTCGGCGTTCTCTCTGCATTCCCTCGGCGTTCCCTCGGCGTTCTCTCTGCGTTCCCTCGGCGTTCTCTCTGCTTTCCCTCGGTGTTCCCTCGGCGTTCTCTCTGCATTCCCTCGGCGTTCCCTCGGCGTTCTCTCTGCGTTCCCACGGCGTTCCCTCGGCGTTCCCTCGGCGTTCCCTGAGGTGTTTTCCGGCGCCTCCAGGCGGGTATTTTTAG